GCATCCGTCCGTGCTCCCCCTGCTCCTGCATCCGTCTGTCCGTCCGTGCTCCCCCTGCTCCTGCATCCGTCCATCCTCCCCCGACTCCTGCATCCATCCGTCCGTCCCTCCTCAGCTTGCTTCTGGAGCCGTCCGTCCGTCCTCCTCCTGCTCCTGCATTCTGTCTGTCCGTGCTCCCCCTGCTCCTCCGTCTGTCTGTCCGTCCTGCTCCTCCATCCGTCCGTGTTCCTGTCCGCGGGGCTCCGGGCTGTCCCAGCCGCCCCTGCCCGCACCCTGCCCGCACTCCCGGCTCAAGGCCTCTCTCGGTTCCTTTCCYGGCAGCTCCGCGCCTCCCTGCTCGCTTTCCTGGGTGTGTTCGAGTGTGTGCCAGGTCCCTGAATGGAACTGGGACCTCTAGGATGAGCAGGGGAGGAATGTGAGGCTTAAACAGAGCCCAGGCTGGGGCTGCTGGCCTCAGAGCAGGGTGGCAGGGAGCCCCAGACGCTGTGGGGATAGGTGCAGAGCCAGCTGGTGGCATCTCAGCCATCAGCTGATGGTGACACAGAACATAACTCTGTGGTAGATTCCCTGGTTTCACTGGGCACTGTTTCAGGTGAGTTTAGAGGTCCAAGGCACCCCCAGYTCCGGATCAGGGGCCCCGTGCCTCGCTGCTGCTGTTTCTATCCTCAGTTGGGCTGCCCCGGGGCTGTGCCTGGTCCCTGGCTCACCCCTGCCCTCTGGCTCTGCACTCTSCTCCTTCACCTCCTCCTGGCTGCTGGGGCAGCCCAGCTCCTCTCCCTCAGAGGTCCACGCCGAGCCAGGAGCAGGCACAARGGAAGGCACCAACCCACAGCCTTTTCTCTGAACTCGCCTCTCAAGGCAATGGACAGTGTCACTGGGCTCCATGATTGTGGGAAGCCGATTGGAAAAAGCTAAAAGAGATCAGCTGCTGTGAAGGGAGATGTTCAGATTCCAGCTGAGGAGCCTTTGTAAGAGCTCAATGATCTCCTGMTGAGATGAAGAGTCCAAGAAGCAGCTGCTATAAGAGGAGATGTTCAGGTACCAGCTAGAGGCATTTGTGCAGGAGTCATGGAAGGTTTTAGTCTTCTTTTTGTGTTGTTCTTGTGATGTGGAGAGGTGCTGTGAGATATTAAAGCGCTGACTCTCGACACCTTCCCCCGGCATCCATCAGTGTGTGAGATCAGCACTGACACCAGACGGGCTCTGCTCACCTGGATGCAGGGACTGGGAGGTGGGTTAGGGTTTGTGCTTGTGTCTATGTGCACACAGGCTGAGCTCTCACTTTCCTAGAGGGATGTGACATGGCTGGGACATGCACTCAGGGTCTGGAGGGTRGGGTTTGGGGGTTTGCTTCACCTCCCAGGACAGGTGCTGCAGGATGCTGAGACCAGTAGCCAGGTGCTCCAAGCAAAGGAGCACAACTGTCCCCTGTCCAAGAGCAGGTCAGGAATGGGCAAGTGTTTTGGGGTGTCCTGTCAGGCAGGAAGGGTGGCCACTGAAAGGTATCACAGAATCTCAGAATGGTTTGGGTTGGAAGGGACCTTAGAGCTTATCCAGTGCCACCCCTGCCATGGACAGGGACACCTTCCACTGTCCCAGGTTGCTCCACACCCCAATGTCCAGCCTGGCCTTGGACACTTCCAGGGATCCAGGGGCAGCCACAGCTTCTCTAGGCAACCTGTACCAGGGCCTCCCCACCCTCAMAGGGAAGAATTCCTTCCCCATATCCATCTAACCCTGCCCTCTGGCAGTGGGAAGTCATTCCCCCTTGTCCTGTCCCTCCATCTCTTGTCCCTAGTCCCTCTCCAGCTCTCTCAGAGCCTCTTTGGGCACTGGAAGGGGCTCTGAGGTCTCCCTGCGCCTTTTCCAGGCTGAACACCCCCACCTCTCCCATCCTGGCCCCAGAGCAGAGGGGCTCCAGTTCTTGGAGCATTTTCCTGACCATCCTTTGCTCCCCTGTTGTTAACTCCTGTGCCAGTTTATGCAAGAGACCCAAAACTCGTCCTGTGTGTGACCCTTCCTGTGTCCATGGTCTTGGCAGTCTTCCAAGTGCTTGGTTCCCTCTTCCCTCTCACTCAAACTCTCCAGAAATTCCTCTGCCTGGCACACAGACACCCATTGAATGCATCTGCAGAATTCAGATCCCACAGGAAATGCAATGAAATGGTTCCTTCCTCTCCATTTAAAATGGAACAATAACACKGGGAGCAATGCTGCCAGTGTGGCATCCCCTGAGACAGCTCCTAATTCACTCCTTCTGCGGAGGAGACTTAAGCAAATAACCCCACCAGGAAGGACAGAGAGGCACTGCCTTTGCCCCAAGCACAGGAAAGGGGAGCTGTTCTTGCAGAGCTGAATTTCTGGTCCACAGCACATGAGCTGAGCTCCAGGCCTGCTCAGGGCTCTTTTTAGGATAGACTTGGTTCAGTGGTGTGTCCTGCTGTCCWGAGAATCTGAGCTGAAAGAGGAAAATTTTAATAGTTTTCCCTGGTGCCACTTTCGCCAGTRCTTCCTGAGACTAAACCTTGTTAAGTGTGTTGGTCCTTGTGGTTTTGGGTTTT